CAGTAAAATATTTTCTTTCCACCTTTGCAATCAAACGGACCCTTAAGGTTGCAAAGTAGAGCCCCTTAGATCTGCTTCAATTTGACGTGAGAAGTAGACCCAACTTCATAACATGTAAAAACAATTGCTCGCGTAGAAAGTTCAATAAGAGTTTTACTTGTGTGCCTATAATCATTGTTGCAATGTATAGAGGGTTTCCAACTTACTCATTGTGCTCTTAGTATTACACAACTTGTTTTTGTAGGGCAATATATGTCGAACCTATATTTCTTGGGCAAAATAAAGTTAAATGGGAAGTTCCCGATCTTATGAGCTCAATTTGTTGCCACCTCTAGTTTGATAACGTCCTGGACGCAGATTTACAACAAGAATACAATCAACTTGAGAGTTTTTTGCAATCATAAGTACGGCGCAATTGGCCATACTCGCTAGAATTGTAGTAGTCAGGATTCATTTGCTAATAGCTACATAAATAAGTAGTTAAATATTGTTGAGTAATATTCATTTATGAATTTAATGTTATTTTGATATGTAAATATGGTCGATTAATATTTACAACTTCAAAATTTAAAATTCATAATATTTGACATCTATTATAATTTATAAACCTTAAATATAAGTAAATTTATCATCAAGTTGAATATTTACAGCTCTAGCCATTTTAAGGAGGATGAAGCAAACTCACTCTTTAAGTTCTTCTCAAGCTTACCTTTGGTAAGACAACTTTTGTCAGGGTCATACACATATAGTAGACCTCGCCATATCGACCTCGCCTAAAAACTTGTGTGCATTTCTTAACACGAAATGTAAACATGTATACAAACCTACCACTTCTTACCCATCGATGGTGTATTTCCATTCAAGTAACTTAAGAGATAATTTGGCAATGTATACCTATCTGAATCTATATCTCTACCATCTGCTCGATTTCCGAAGCATTCTTGAACTCCAATTGCTGAATAATGTTGGATACGTAGATGCTCGAAGTCATGCAAATACATTACCAGGTCGACATGCTATATTAATGAAAATGGTACGTGTTGACCCCAAAAAATGAACCAATGACGTAGCCAACATAAAATTAGAAATTCACGTCTTCGTAAGTGTAATCGCAATATACTCAAATCAAATTACTAATTATATTGATGAGTTAATGAAGAGAATGATTNATCTTATAGTGACACCCCAAATAGTAGGTATAATAGTTGTTGACCCCAAAAAATGGACCAATGACGTAGCCAACCGAAAATTAGAAATTCACGTCTTTGTAAGTGTAATCGCAATATACTCAAATCAAATTACTAATTATATTGATGAGTTAATGAAGAGAATGATTCCAAGTGTTTGACCAGTTGCAACGTGGTTATTTAGTTGATAAAAAGGGGGTCGGCATAAGGAGTAAAATAGGGAGAGTCAAGGTTCACTTTTGCTGTGTAAACTTGCATCCCCTTTGATGGTGTTAACTGTGTCTTTTTATACCAAGTGTAACGGGGAATCCAACCTGTTAGATGGCCAGGCACGTGGGTATATTATATCCAAGGGTCCTTACTGACGTTAATCAGTCAATCAACCAAGCCCTTTAATGCTAAGATGCCCACCTGCAGGCTAATGATCCGGTAGTGTAGGTATGTAGAGGCAGCGCCTGTAGTGTATTGTCTTATCAATCACTTCACAAGGTCTGCTATAGTTGACTTAGAGCCTCTCCAATGATGGGTTCGTACTGGGGACCTCTTCAAAAGGGGATCGAATGAAGTGGCTTTAGATGGACTATGCATCAGCATATGTCGAGTGGGGTTGCCTACATTTCTATGCCAGATGTAATTTTTTCTATTCGCCATGTGGAGTGCTTGCGTGGCATGTTTAGTTTACGATTATTTATATACGTAACATTAGTCCCTCAAGTCCAGTATGATTATTTATATTTTGTGTGGACTTTGAAGTTCGAGAAGCGATGGAATAAAGGTTTTTACTTGCTTGCCGAAATTGATGTGGGGCTCCCCCGTTTTCTACTTGAACCCTGTAAAATAGTTGGGCTTGCATCAATAAAGGTGGTTCTTTACAAAGTTGCTAAGGTATGAAGTGTGGTCTCCACGTGTGGGCGAACCTTGTGAAGGTAGAGCCTCCTTTGTGTGGACGAATCATGTAAAAATAGGACCTCTTTTATGTGGACGAATTGCAGGGGGGGACCTAATATGAGATGATTTGGTGAGTCCTAATTCCAATGAGCGACATCTAGATATTCTTAGTCATTTCCAATGCTCGAGCAATGTGCGCATTTAATGTGTAATGATGATGGTATTTTACCTTCGCCTAGGTGCACGCGAATTTTGGATGCGTGTGTTGTACGAATTAATATGGGCCCTTGATTCAAACCCAAATGGGCGCCCTTTGGTTTCTACGTAGATGGTGAGGCTACAGGTGGAGGGCTCAGATTAAACCAGAGAAGCATTCGACGACGGGGATTCGTCTGCTAGGCCTATATAAGGAGTTGAAAATCCACTTTTTCATCTTTTTCCACTTTCTGAGATTTCTTGAAATCAAGTGTTGAAGCTTCCTTTCGTCCTAACCTACAACCCTTGCAATTATCGGCGATCGATTATTTTTCTTTTACTTCGAGACCTTCCGGGATTTGGGTTTTTAGAATTTGCATAAGTATTTTTTATATTGAGGCATTTTTATCTATTCTCTTAATTTTAAATGGCCTCTTCGTCTAACAAGGTTGTTAGTGAGCGGTCTTTCGAAGTAGACATGGCCCTAATTTGTGCGGAGGTGAGAATTCCTCTGGTGATTCCTATCGGGAAAATCATAAAAGCGATGAGGGATTCCCATAGTTCTAGGGTGACGCGTGAGGACTCTATTGACTGTAGTATTAGGTTGGGGGCCTCTTTGTGGTCCACTGACATAAATAAGAGCGAATTGGAGAATTTTAGGAGACGTATAAAATTCCTGATGATATAGAGATGCTATTGCCAACCCAGGAAGAGAGAGTCTGCTTTCCCAGGGAAAGGTGTGTGGCTGTGAGCGAAGCGACTTTAGCTGGGGAGTTTCTACACCCGTTTTTTAGGTTTATCCTTAGGCAATACAACTTGGCCTCCACCCAGTTAGTACCTACTGCATGGAGCCAACTTGCAGGGGCCTTTCTTCTCTGGAAGGAGGTCACGCTTGGGGAGGATATGCCTCCACACATTTTTCAGACCCTCTTTCAACCTCGAGTCTCTAGTGGGGGTAGCAAT